TAAGTACAAATACAAAACTCGTGTACCAGAGAATTTTCGCACCAGCGTACCTGTTCTGAAAACAAATCTTACTTACTGTAAAAACTGTAATTTGTAATAAAATAATAGTTAGTATAATTAATTTAGTAATATCTTATCTGTTCTCGGGCCTTTTAAACCTTTTCCAACATATTATTTGTGTGAAGAGTTGGTGGTGAATGGTGTTTACTAATTGTCTTCCCTTTGGACTATTACTTCAAAATTGGGCACGGCTAGCGCAGTCAGCCCTCAAGTAATTTTATACGAAATTCAACAAATATACAAGTAATCTTTCGCAATAGTGCACCACAAGACTAAAGAAAATACGGTTTACATCAGACAATAAAATAGAAAATTGAATGATTCTTTATTCATTTCTTTACTGTATCTTTACGAACTTAATTATGCATTCTTCAGAGCTTCTTTTTGATCTCTCTGCAAATTTTGACTGGAATCAAAGAAAACATTTGATGTGTCTCGCGATAACTCAGCACAAACAGTTTTTTTAATTGTAAGAGATAGGCTTGAGGAGTAATAAATCCCTAAGAATTATAAGGGTCTATATCAGGATCTATATGATATTTCTCTCAACTACACATTCACAGATGTTTTTAATCATTTAACGGTTTCATCTTTTTTTTGCTTTTAAGAGAATCAAGTGACATCGAACATCGTGGAAAAATTCCCAGTTTACATATTTTTTCTTATCTTCATCTGTAGTAGTTTGAATTGATGAACAAAATACTAGTGGATTAGCTTCTAGCTCAGTTGATAGAACATTTAGTTGTAATAAAAGCTGTCCCGGGTTCGAGTTCTGTTCGCAGGAAAGGCAGAAATGGGACTGCCAATGAAAAATTGGCGCTCAATGTGGGATCATCCTAAGATACGTTAGAGAGAAAAAATATGGCAGCTTAAGTTATTAAAGCGTGCCTTACCAGTAATCTCTACTCGGTTAACCCATCAGCTCAGTTAGTGAAGCAATAGGTTATAATACAAGAGATCGTGTGTTCGAATCCTGCACAAGGTAGACACAAAAATTACCACACTTTGAGTATTGTAGTTCACAAAGCCCGAATAACCTAGTGGCAGCATTCCAACAATAAAACAAAGCATAGTTTATATTATAATAACGAGATATTTTTACTGGGACAGAAAAAGCTGTAGTGTATTACAGAGGTTATACTGAAACGATTTTGGAGCCTCAACACGTTGTTATAGACTATATCGTTACGTCCAATCATGTTCTATTTGACAACCATGCATCTTGACAATAGCCCTGCAGCACAGATTTAGTTGTAAAAAGCTCTGTCGTAAGGTCATTATGTCTAAAGAACATTCCTCTTTCCTGCATACTCTTTCCTAATTCATCTAGTGTACGAGGATGACAGTTTTCCAGTGTCCATTCCAACATTCTGATCGCACAGAATCCAAAGGTGCTTTTTGTATGAAGTAGTATCGATACCCGTTTCATTCTCTATTTACTTAATATATGCGATGATTGAACAAATGTGTCGTAGAAGCAACTTGTGTACACGTTACTTGTGTCGCTTTTCCATATGGAGATCCTTCTTGATTATGTTGCTTACTATTGCTTGGTACACGTGGACAGCTTTTGCCACTGATTTCTGTGTTCGTGGATTTTCACCTATTATAAAATGTTGCAGTTTGTTTACCACAGCTAGGGTACGACTTTTAGCAGGTTTTTTTCTGGATGGTCCTGATTCCCCAGTTTGATCCATATTTCTTTGTACAAGGGATATTCTCATCATGGAAATTTTAAATCCACAATTTGAACACATCATGATTTGAGTGTATAAAAATTTTGCGTCGGTAATGGCTATTACATACCTTTCCTAAAAGCTATAAGATTTCGGTGTAATGACATTATCTACAGAATGTCAAACCATTTCAAAATGTAGTTCTGATAGATACCGTTCCAACGCGATTTTTTATTGGCTGTGGTTGTCATCTGACTTGCTGATTTGCATATTCAAAATCATCTTAATACAACATAATCACCCTCTCTAATTGTTTATTTGTTTGTTTTTTAATTTCGCGCTACACAAGAGCTATCTGCGCTAGTCATCCCTAATTTAGCAGTGTAAGACTAGAGGGAAGGCAACTAGTCATCACCACCCACTGCCAACTCTTGGGCTACTCTTTTACCAACGAATAGTGGAATTGATCCTCACATTATAATGCCCCCACGACTAAAAGGGCGAGCATGTTTGTTGGGACTCGCGACCCTTAGATTGCGAGTCGAGCTCCCTAACCACCTGGCCATGCCAGGCCCTTCTCGAGAGTAAGAATCAACAATATATGTGTGTACGTAAATGCTTTAATTTGTATTGTTACATAATCTAAATTTTCTAGAAAACCTTCCCACGCCTATAAATATAACCAACGCGATGCGCCAAAAAAGTAGTATCTATTATTAGTTTGCTATAGTCAGTGTGCTATAAACTTCGGAAGCTATAACTGTGATTGTTATAACGCTTACCAATCAGAAAACTTCAGATATTTGACCAGCAACCTTTACAAAGTTCGAACATTACAAATCATTTAACTTCAGTGGATTCACATCGGACTTTAATATTTTTACGAAAACATTACCTAACGTCATCGGTGGAAACTCAATCTCTAATAGGCATATGAACAGTGAAAACTACAGAGCTAGCTAGCTCCCTGTTAAGCGAATCGTACCTACATCAACTCGTAATTAACTCGCTCATCGTAAACCCTCGATAAGATATCAAGGAAGTTCCAGACTAGAAAGAAAACTTTATATTGTTTGTAAGTTTGTAAAACTTTTGTTTATAAATCATTGTTTGCAATAACTATTTGTAACAACTGTTACTGTAAATTGTAATGTTGTGTGTATATTAAAACGTATTTGTGTTAAAAAAGAAAACTGTGTATCAATCTTGTTGGCAAATATAATAAACTGACTATATATCGGCTTTTACTTAACTGCTAAATCCATAGTACAATTTAACTACTAAATTTAAATTCTCCTTTAACTCAATTTCAGGCCATTTGAAATTCTAATACGTAACACTTTTCAGTACATCATGTTACAATCTCTTACCTGGCGTATAAATTTTGTACTGGATTACTCGCTCTCGTCGACTGATGAGGTGATATACCAAGAGTTGCAGCGAGACAATCAGTGATTGACTGTGATAGGGGCGACATCATGTGACCACATTCCGAACTTGGTTGAGTAAGGAGATGTGGCACTCGATTTTCGTCGTGGATTGAAAGTGGATCTTGTCTCAGTTGTGGAGGCTTCACCCAGTTTGAAACATAAAGCAGATATCTTGGTCATAATTCAGTAAATGTTAATTGAAAATATATTTTTTTTAATACACTATCAATTACCATAGAAGATTAATCTACAATACTGTATTTTTAGAATATACTGTCAATTACCATAGAAGACTAATCTACAATGCTGTATTTTTAGGATACACTGTCAATTACCATAGAAGACTAATCTACAATACTGTATTTTTAAAATACACTGTCAATTACCATAGAAGACTAATATACAATGCTATATTTTTAGGATACACTGTCAATTACCATAGAAGACTAATCTACAATACTGTATTTTTTAGGATACACTGTCAATTACCATAGAAGACTAATATACAGTACTATATTTTTAGGATACACTGTCAATTACCATAGAAGACTAATCTACAATACTGTATTTTTTAGG